TGACTGTATTTAACAGAGCATTAAATAGTAATTGCAACATATTTTCTGATGAGAAACGGATGTTCTAGGGTCTCGTCGTATCCAAGTGAGTCGTAGTAAGTCCTATACGTAGTAGTCTTTCTCTTCATTAGAAAATAATTTAAGTATATCACAATTTTATGTTAAAACATTTCATCATTTTCCATAACCACAATTGGAATTGGAATCATTCGAGAAAATCCTGTGTAACATCGTTTAGGACTCTCCGTTAACATGGAGGAAAACATTACAAACAAAATCAACCGATCTGAACCAACTGAGGTGCCTTTCCGAAAGATAAACTCGGCATTTGAAGAATGCCCGGAGCGTAAATCAAGGAAAGTATATTCGAAGTTGGGTTCGGACCAAACACGCAATTATTTTAACTCTGCGGTGGGCCGGGTTGCATACGCTCGATTGTGCGGGCGAAATCTAAGATCTACCCACGGTTTTTGAGATAGGATAAGGGTGCCATTAGTGTTACCTTGAGCATGACGTCTAATTCAGTTAGGTATTTGGATACTTCTGTCGCGCAGATTTGTGATGCGATATTAACAAAATGAGATGCTAGGATAGTTCTACCGTCTTATCAGTGAAGAAACCGTACATCCAATCTTCCTCTATTGTAAATTATTTTCTCGCAAAATTCTGTTTTACAAGAAAACTAACAAACGATCCTCCTTCATTTTCGGGTGCCAACTTTGTCATATCATTAGGAATTCAAGATGAAAAATTGACGTCTTGTGGTAAATAGGTCCTCTTGTCATAGAGCAGTGTGGGTTTAAGACAACTGCAAAATAAGGATGAAGTTACGGTGTTTTTACAGCGGGCGGTAGAATTGTTCAATGGCGAATTGTGAATGATCGATTATCGATCTTTCCCAGTTTGAAGCTATGGTAAAAAATCGATTATTTAGGTGTTCGTTGTTAACACCTTGCTTATCGATATTTTTCAATGGGTTTAAATGGTAGATCAATCGATGTATCACAAAGTACGCCACGCCACTAGAGCTGTTACGCACTTACAGAGCGTTACATGAAGACCGGAAATGCAGGAGTAAGTAATTCATAAGTTTTGTAGGACCCCCTAGTTCCTCGATGACACGCGCTCATTTCATTGAATCGCTCTTTACTCATCACCCTTTAATAGAGCTCAAGCTCAAAGGGATCTTATTGAAAGTGTTCTAAAATGCCGTTTAGTTTCTATTCGATGCTTAATTAACCTTAATAATCAGGCCACTCGACCTGAGTTGAACTGTAAACCTCTAACTCCTTTAATTTGATTTTTTGTGCCAGCATAAATGTCCGATTGAACACCCAATCGAACTCCTCCTATGTGATGGGGAGGATGGGGTGGGGGGTGGCGCATCGGCGGTCAACGAAATCCATCAATCATCAGCGTGGCTCTCGATCCGCGTAGCCCCGAAAACGAAGTCGGCTCCGGCTATTAAGGGCGTATCTTTGTCTCCAACCTCTGCCCGCCTCCGCCCTGCATTTTTCCGCTGACTCCTTGACCCCCCGTTCATAAGTAATCCTCACCTGTCGAACTCCTCCGCCGAGTTCTTCTTCTCCTCGCAGCAATCCTCCGATGACAGCGTTGCACAATTTCATCAGAAAATCCTGTAAATTTACATTAGATCCGAGGAGAGGAAACGATTAATTGTGCCTAGAGATGGCAGCAGTTGTTGAATGCATGAATTCGGTGTACGATCGATTTGGTATCACACCCCTGCTGCCGTGCTAAGGAACAACGCCGCATGAACTTTTGGGAGTTGCCGAATCTCCTCGAATAAACCATGTATTTTTGAGAAGAAAATATTAACATTTCCCCTCGAAATTTTCAGAAATGTTAGATAGTCTTGTGAACAAAATTGTCTGAAAAATTTGAAGAAAAATATTCATAATTTTCCTAGTAATTTCAGTTTTTATTGAAGGAAAACAGGCGACGTTCAAAGCCCCATACGATGTTTTTCCTCAGCACGGCAGCTGTTCTGATCAACTGGATGAGGGTGCGGGTGGCGGAGAAATTGCTTGCTCCAAATCGTAAATAATCGGTACGATATGATTACAGGATATGGATATGGCAAATCATTTCACTGCGTGAGTTATTTAACGGGTGCATCCGATAGAAAAGACGAAATTCCTTTTGTTTCGATTTTATGAGTACTTCACTTCAACCCTTTCTACCACAGAAACAAGTTATCAATAATTACATGACTAACTAAGAGAGTAGTATCGACTGCAGAACAAAAATCATAGAAATAATCCTAGAAGAAAAGAAAAGGAAATGTAAAGTGAAACTTCCCTTTTTTTAACAGTGGAGACTTCTGTATTTACAAACCTGACGGTAAAATTGTTTGTTTTAACGGTATGAGGTACATGTTATTTGTTGCCAGGAGCCACGAAAAGCATATGGAGTTATGTAGGCAATAGGGTTCATTCCTCAAAAAAGTTACACCCTCCCATTAGAAGAACGGAGATAATTACGATTTTACAATAATTTACGCTTGCAAACATTCAAGTGATCAGTTACATTGGAAAACTTAAAATTAGTGGATGGAGCCCCAAACAAATTGTAAAATTAATGGACATATTTTAAAGGTGATTCAAAAAATGATCCCGTAGTGTATCTGGTTGATAGAATTAAAATGAAGAATTTTAAGTTGTTTTCTAAGGATTATTGAGTGAGACAAGTTTATCTGAAGGTCCTTGTCCTACTTCTTTGTCACCCAGCAAATGTTGTGTTGATGTGATCTACATAATTAGCAGTGATTAAAAGTCTCAAATCAAAGTGAGGATATTAATTTGTCTCACGGGAATCTCCACCGCTGCCGCAATGAAGGAATATCCAGAGATGAAGATTTGCTATGCTGATGTGAAAACCTCGTAAAAGCGATGACAACCTTGCGCAGATCCGCCGTTTTTACCATGTTAGAGTCTGTTGCCCATAGCGGTTGCTGTGCAAAACCTGGTCGGGAAAACCGCTGAATTATTAATGAGGAGGTTTGACCAAGGCTGCCTTCAGCAGACAAGGCCGGAAATGATTATGTTCCATTTAGTCCTCCCCGTTTTTCAAGAGGGAAAAATTAGTGACGTCATCAGTCATCGGGGAGGTTTTTGTTCCTAAGAGTTGAGACAAACAGGCAAGTGAATCTGTGAACAAAGGGGAGGCGTACATTTTATTTGCATCCAAAGCAACTCTCAATCCGAAAGTTGACTCGCGAAAACACTGTCATTGGAGATGATGAAACTGCATTTTTATATCACGGATAGACAAAGAATGAGCTATAACCTAGATGCGGATCACTGAATTTATGAATTTTTCATAGTAACCCTACATAAATAAGTTAAAATCAAATTAAAGAAATCCTCTCAAAAAGAATTAATGATAAATTAAAGGAAAAAAGAATAGCGATTCCTGAGAGAAATAAAAAAAGTTAGGAAAAAATGGACTCATGTCAGTGTAATACGTAAAGGGATTTAAGTTGACTTAAATACACTTGGCGATTAGCTCTACATTTTTTACCTTCAAAACAAAAAATGCATATGACCACCCCTCCCTTTGAGAAGAATGCTGAATTCGTAGGTAATCTTTCCTCCAAGTGATGCGAAAATCAATCCAATGAATTCTGAAATCGAGTTAGGTCACCTCTTTTAATCCAGTCGCATCGAGGAAGATTAGTAGTGGTGGTTGTAGTAGTAGAAGTTTCAGTAGTAGATGTAGCTGCACTAGATGACGCAGCAGATATCTTCGTGCTTAGTTTTCTTGGCAGTTTCGTTTAAAATGTATCGAAATAAGATTATACTCGATTTCCTTCTTCTTATTCGTTATAAAAATTGTAGCTTATTTTCAAAAGACCACGTGAATTTTAATAACATTCGCCTGCACCTCAAGGAGTCATTTCATGTACTTTAGAGGCACATAAAAAGCAAAGAGGGTGCGGTGTGGTTTTTGGTCTGATGAGGGACTATAGTTATCTGCTAGGGCGCTGCCAGAGAAATTGTCAAATGCGTTAGGAACAGAAACTGAGAGTTCGATTGTTAGTTCAGCTTATTGGATATTCTCCGATACAGCAGTGGAAGCTGTTGTACAGTAATATTTTTCTTTTCCAGTGAAGAGGGAAACGAACAAGAGTTTTTGTAGGCATTTCTCCGAGGATGGTGACTTGCCCGGAGTCTTTTTGCTCAAGTTTTTGAGGACTTTTGGAGTCATTTACAACATGGGATTTACAAAGTCTTAGACACCTGCAAGCTCTCCACCTAGTTGCGGAACTTCAACCAAAATATTTCCATTTCACTGAAAAAAAAATCTCGGTGTATTTACTAAGAAAAGGGTAACATTAACACGAATTCAGGGTTCTATTTGATCCCAGTTTTTTCTTGGTAAAATTACAATTTATGAAATTGGTAATTTTACCGAGAAATCTCGATAAAATTGTTGACTTTCTCGGTAATTTTACTGGACTCCGGTAAAAACGCCAATATTTTTTATCGACTGTGGTAGAATTACCGAGATAAAATGGCAAAGTTACCGGGAATTGATTACCAATAAAAGTGGTATTCTTACCTGAAAAAAACAGTAAAAATACCGGTTTTAAAGTAAGCTTACCAGTCTGTCTTGGTAAAATTACCAATAATTGGTAAAAAAAAAGTGAGATGGTAAAGGTACCAACGGACCTTGGTAAAAACGCCGAGCATTTTTTTTCAGTGTTATACATGAGACTATTTTATACTTTTGAGTGCATTGGAGAAGGTATCTCCTTTCATTGCGTGAAACGGTGAGCGGCAACCGCGCGACGAGGTGCAATTTTTCGAGTCACGTCGGTCGTCGCCGAGGAAATTTTGTAGACGGAGTGTAGCTGGCCGGGCGGCCGGGCGCTGGGTGTGTCGGTCCGGCGGGAAGGGAAGGGGGCAGGGTGACTCCTCGGCAGGGGGGCGGGGGGCGGGGGGCGCGCGCCGGCACCTCCGAGTCGCTTTCCAGTCTCCATCTGTGGCCCTCTCACGCAAGATCCGTGCTCTCAATCTCCCTGTACGGTCCTTTCATCCTCGATAAATTCACCTTATTTTTCCGCAAGATTCTCCCCAAAACCCGCTCCGCGAAACCCCCGTTCGCGAATCTTCGGAAAGTGCCGTTCGCGGATTCCTGGAATCGAAAAGAGCACCCTCTGGTCCCACCCCTGCGGCAGCCCGCTCACCCCCTCCCGCCTCTTAACTCCGCCCTACCCTCGAGGGCTGAACTACCCATGCGGATTGTTGTTGTTCGCGACTGAGAATCACTGCATCTCATTTTACGAGAAAAAAAGGAAATTAAATCACTTGCAACAAGTTTTTTTCGAAGAGTTTCTGTGCAATCAGTGAAAGACGACAGTGCGGTTCTTCGTATGGAAATAAATAGTGATCTACATTATGTACCATTTGTCCATTGTTAACCTCAAAATATTTGGATGCAAGGAGTGATCGAAGACCAAGGTAACCGTTTTGTATTTCCTTGTTTTTTCACTGCTGCCAACGGACTAAAGGCCAGCTTCCAAGTTGCTTTTTAAGTGTCGCCATTCGTTTAAAACAATTCCTACAAGTTTATGTTGTTGAACTTCGGAATCGGTGGACTCTTACTATTGACTCGCACTATTCTTGGCAACTCCTGCGGTTCTGGTTACCATCGGCGTCAGGCCCTCAAGCTCGCAAAGATGAACACTGTTCATAGTTACGACTCCTTTGTGATGTACCTTTGCAGACCGTCGAATGTTTGTTGAGTGTTTAGTGCGGCAGAGACGGGAAAATACAATAAAGCACGTGCAATTTATAGCTCAATAAATAAAGCGGTCGCACCACCTCCTCATTCCTACCCGTGCGTTTGAGTCACTGGCAAACACTCGTTTCCTTGTCATTCACCCTTGCTCGAGCCGCCGACTCTTCAAATTGCCTACCGTTACTTTGAAGGCGTTCCGTTCGTCAAATCAACTAATTGCCTGAGGTGACACGTGCTTGTTTTCATAGCCTTGCGTTTAAGTCACCGCCCCTCATACCCCGGCAATGACCTGCAGTTCCCAAGTCTAGTTTGATAACTCGATTTTACATGCAGCCCAACATGCAGGACCAAAAGTCATCTCCGACGGAGAGAGACGCCGCAGACCCGGCCACGGTAGACCTCATCGCCGGTATCGAACTCGCCGGTGTTTCCATCAACAACAACAACACAACATCCAAAGAAAAAGATGAGCTCAGCTATCGGAATTTCCTCAACGTGGCGCAAACGCTGCAAGACCTGCAAGCGGCGCTCGTATCATCCATGACCAGAGCCACAGCAACCCTGCTACCCCATTACTCGCCAGCTGTGGCGACACTGAATCTCCAGGCAATAGAACAGTATCTCACGCTACAGATGCTCGACTCCCTCAACGCGCAGATTCAAAACGCCACCGTTGCGGAACAATTGGAAACGAACCGGAAGTCACTGTCCGAGTCGGAAATCGAGGAACCGGAAGTTGAGGACCTGCCTCTCTTGGAGGATCAACCCGAGTCGCTGGGCGCAGCCATGAGCCTTGACAAAAAGAAAGAGCTGGAGGCTCTGGAGAGTGATAAGCTGATATCCCTTTGTCAGCCCCTCGCTTCACAGCAAACGATCCTCCCGGCGTCCTTTGCGGCATTTCCAGAGGCCTCGGCCTCGACTAGGACTCCAAAGTCAAACGTGAGACAGAAGAAGAAGTTTATTTGTAGGTACTGTAATCGACAGTTCTCCAAGTCCTACAATTTACTCATCCATGAGAGGACACACACTGACGAGCGACCCTACTCGTGCGATATATGTGGCAAGGCCTTCAGGCGACAAGACCATCTCAGAGATCATAGGTAAGCTCCGTCTTAATTTATATTATTCTGTGTTGAGGCGATGCCTCGACGAATACGCACAAAATTTGAAAGTAAGTCATTGAAAATGAACCGCATTTCGACGGTGTAAGTCGGCAATCACATAACTCGGTTTGCGACGTTGCAGACGTCCTGTCATACTTTATTTTTTAAACGGGAAACTACTCAACGGCAATTCTTTAAAACTGCCATGATTTTTCTTCTTTGTGTGAAAAAAATTCTGCAAAAACTTCAAGGAATTATGCCTATTTGTTCTTCTTTAAAAAAATAATATAGAGGCGGAGATTTTCAGACACCGCAAACGAGATACGTGATTGCGGACTTACGACGTCGATTTGCACATACAGTGCTCTGAAAAATCCGAGTTTGCAGAAAAGTAAAGGAACTTTTACCATTTGTTGTATCTATTGTAAAACTATCAAACTCAATCAATAGTTTTGCAACGTTACAGATTTCATGTCTGGTATTTTTTTTTTTTTTCAACACGTAATTTTAATATGTTTCAACTCCACGGATAATTCAATTCAAAACTTCGGTCGCGTTTTTATACTTTTGATGTAATGAATTTGTCTGCCTTTGACTTCAACTGCCATCTTTTCTTCTCGTAAATTTTTTGACTTTAAAGGAAGCTAAAGGTAAGTATGCCGAACAATCCGGAAAATTTATTTTGAATTTTATAATGCACCGTACCTCGATCTACATCAGTGCCACAACTAAAACAAAGAGGGAGAGGGGGACTGTCGATCTTTAGATGTAAGATGAGCTTCGAAACAAATAGGGCAATATGCCATAATAATTGTTCGAAGCATGTTCATTTTTGGCACACCCTGAAGTTGACCCTCCAAAAAATATCGTCTTTTTGAGGTTTAAAAGGCGGAAATCATCCGTTTACTGTGCTTTGATGGGGATGAATGAAACTAGCTATTATTATTCGCTCAAAAGCCGCTCTTTTTCTGTAGCTGATTTGTTTCATCCACGATTTCATTATCCAAATAACTTTAATGCCAGATTTTTGTCTCTCAAAAGTTCCCTACCGTTTGCACTTTGATTTCTAACAAGTCTTATGACGAGCTCGGTATGATTCAAAAGAGAAGCAAGAGCGGAAATTTGAATATCGGATCAAATGGTACCCCCTTCATTTACGAGTCGTTTCTGATTGGCTGATTCGCCTAGTGCCTACTTTTTGGTAGCTCCTCATAGAAAATAACTTGGACTTCATTTTTTATCGAAAATATTTCGAAAACAAGGACAAATGTAAACGTTGGAGATTTCAGAAATCAGCTTTCCGGATTTTGTCGAAGAGATTGATGGGTAACACGTGACATTTTTTTTTTAAACACACCGAACATTTCGACCTGGAATTTTATTTTCTCAACTTGAGATATGACACTTGCTGTCGTGAAACCTTGGTGTCTTGGCCTGGAATTTTGTTCCTTCAACTTGAAATATGACAATTATGACACCTACAATGAAAAAAACAAAATTCCAGGTATAACTGTTCGGTGGGTTTCAGAAAAAATTATCACGTGTTACGCATAAATCTCTGCAGAAAAATCTGGAAATTGATTTCTAAAATTTCCGATGGAAACATTTTTCCATGTTTTCGAGATTTTTTCGATGAAAAATGAACCGCGTGTTATTTTCCATAAGGGCCCCAAAAAGCAGGCACAGGGCGAATGAGCCAATTAGAGATTACTCGTAAAAGTTGGGGGTGCCACTTGGCCTGCGCATTTCAAATTGCGGCTTGGTTCATCCTCACATAATTCCCTTCAGGCTAGACATGAAGACATATGACCACAGTTTTAGTCTCTTTTGTTCGTGCATGGTGTTCTTTTCTTTACCTGAACCGGAGGAGAAGAGAACTGCGAGGGAAAGGGATCTCTTCTTATCTCCAAGTTTCATCTTTTATGAGGACCAAGGTGAGAAAAAAGGGAGGTGAAACATTTCCTAAAGACCCCTCCGTTTATCTGGCGCAGTAAATTATGTGTAAGGATTGCAAAATGATATATATTGCCAAACTTCCCTCCAACAATTTTGACAAAGTAAAATGCTGGGGGTACATTTTTTTTTATTATATCATATTTTCAGACTTAACGGGTTTTTAAAAACTTTAATTGAACATGTTTGCAATATTACAATGATGAACCACTTTCATTATAAAAAATGTGAAAAAGTAGGTTTGGCAGAAGAAATAAAAAACAAAACAAGAAAAAGAGTGAAAAAGTGACAAAAGCTAGCTGGTAATAACCCGATAAGACTCATACCACTAATAAGAACTTCGGTTTTAAGATGCGGGTCGGCGTTGCCGCCGACAAAGGAGGGTACACGCAATACGGATGTGAGGAAAGTTAAATTTTAGGAAAGTTTGAGGTTCTAAATCCTACGGTTTCCAACTCTTTAAACGGCGTGAATCTCCACCCATTTAGGGAGCAGAAAGGCCTCTAAATTATTGAGGTGAGAGGACAGATGCTCTTGTTAACGGTCGTAGACTTCGAGTGTCTTGATTCCCAGTCATGAATGGATATCTTCGTTACTGAGATAGAATAGAGCATTTAAAATTTTCCAGTGTGTTGAATTTTGATTTATTTCTATTTCTTTTTCTTTAATTTGGCTTTGCAGGCCCAGATTCGCACACATATGATAATATATTGCTCAACATCGCACCAACAATTTTGACCATAAAAAGTGCTAGGGGTACACAAAAACACCCCAAAAGTCATTGACAGAGTTTTAAAAAGAAATAAGAAAAAAAAACACGTTTTTCCCAGCGGAGGGGGGGGGGTTAACTAAGTCAGTCCTTCAAAATCAAGTATCAAGAAGTAGTCTAAACAGATAAGAGCAAGAAGAGCACCCTTTAAAACCTCGTGCAACATACGTAGATTACCCTCAATGTTCATACCGGAAACCGACAGTTTCCACGGATTTTTCATTTCAAAAGTTGTACGATAATATCATGCAATTTTCGACGACGTCGCAACCTGCGTCTCACTGCAGCATGATACACGACATACTTTTGAGCCGCATTACGATTAAGCTTTTTTTTTCGTCAAATGCTCTGTCGACTCGCAGGTTCGACGAAACTGGACAGCACATGCATTGATACATTTCCAGAGACGCTGAATGTCTTAAAATATACTAATTAACTAACTAACTATTCTTCCCAAACGCATGCAAAATTGAGAAAATATTCAACACGGGTATCAAAAAAGTTTAATGTGAAAACTTTTTTTACATACGAATGAATTTTATAGAACAAAATCTTTGCCAAAATGTCATGTGGACGAAATTTGATCTTTATTTGCGCGAGGAGGAGTCCAGAAATTATTGTTGAAGATGATAGTTGAAACGGTACTGAGGCTGAGCACCAAATGAATGTAAGTTGAGAGAGCTATAATTGAACACGTGAGTCGTATATGACCCTGCGAATCGCAAAACCTTGTTTCTCGTGCAACTATCTCGCGGTGGCGCGGTGCAATGCGCATTGTGCAACATGCGACTAGCTTTGTGGGTTCACGGCTTCAGCCACACTTAAATGGAGGCCTTAGGAGACAGCTGGTTGTTCCAGCGTTGTCTCATCTTGTAATTAGGCTTTGAATATTATAAGGAGCTTTACAATTATTAAAATTCCGTTGCTCATGTTGTACTCGAAGAGCACCTTTCAAGTCTGTGAAGAACATGATGAATTTCATTCTATTTATTATGCAGAATGGATTTTAGTACAAATGCACTTAGAATTGTTCAATTTAAGTCCATCACTTAATGTCTTCAGAATATAAAATTTGAGAATACAAATTTGTTTGTTTTCTTATAAGCTTCGATTTGAATAGAATCAAATTTCTCCATTTGGTCGCTTGCATCTGAATTATGTTGCGCAATTTTGAAGTTTAAAAAAAGATAAAGTTGCTCTATGTTCCAAATCCTAAGGGGAATCGTATTAGCGACCCCGTTCTGCTGATTGAAACTATGTCAAGTTTAAAACATAACTGCTCTCTGGGTATTTACCATTATTCATATCATCGTTATACTATCATTATCTTGGTACATGGACCGCGTTTAGCAGAAAGGAACCAAGCCACATCAGGTATTGCCAAATTTAACTGGATAGTTTAATTATTTACGCAAGAACGATTGTGCAGATTCCTTTGAAACTTTTCAGAAATTTGCTTCGCACTATACAAAAAACGCTCTGAAATTTTCACAAAAATCCGCACAACCGTTTTCATGTAAAAGATTGAACTACCCGATTAAATTTGGCAACGGCTGATGTGGCTTGGTTCCTTTCTGCTTAACGCGGTCCACATAATTTCGTCTCTACCGCGGTAAAGATGAGTATTTATGAACTATGGCGTGTTGAGCAGTTTGAGACATATTTATAAATTCAAATTCTGCAGGACATCCAGAAGTCAAAATTTTGGTCGCAAAGTGACTTTAACGCTGGAGCTGAAAGAACAAGTCACCGGACATTTGGACGGAAAACCAAAACGAACCAACTGCGTTTCGCGTTGTCTGATTTTCACCCACTACTGCAATTTCAAGGCAAGACCTTGCTTAGTTTTCTGGTAAAATAATTGAAAAATGGAAGACGATTAGGTTAAGTTTTATGTGGTCCGGCGAATTTTGGAAAATGCCATCCATTTCGGTGGTGTTGATTCCGGAAACGGGGATCATCGGAATCGCGCAGAGAATCAGAGATCGGTTGATGTTGCATGGAAACGAGTTTTCTCACGACACCGGTGATCGTCTCCGATGGGAGATACCCATGTCCTCCGCACTCTCCGCTGGTCCAAGCCTCGGCCCGACCCGGTGTCTGTTGCGTTGCGAGCGAGTTTCAGGGGAGTCGAGTAAGGTGCACTCTGCTCGCTGCGCCGTGCCCGACAAAAGCCCTGGGCTATGAGGCCATACCGATCCAACTGCGAACGATATGGGCAAAATTGCAACGTCGCCAAATGGTTTTGTTTCGGCCCCTTTTCATGAAAACGGAA